TATTAATGGTTGTCCTGGGCTGAAGCAAGACTCGCTGAAATTGAAAGAAGAAATGCATAACTCTAAGATTAAAGATGTTGGGCCAATGGACTTTTCGTCAGATCCCTTGCTGATCATGCTGATGCCGTAGCAATTGTTTAACTTTTACAATAAGATGTTGCTGGATATCTTACAAACAATGCTGGAGTTGAACTCGTTGAAAAAGCCTAAACAATCGCTGACAAATTGTCTGCCTACAGTCACCTCTTCTAATAAGATGCCCTCTAGAAATTCTAATCACTTGCTGAAGTTAAGAGAGAAGGAACAACTGGAGAATAAGTCCTTAACATCTTATAAGATTTATAAGTAGAATTAGAATCAACACTTGCCACACTTTAAGAATAAGAAATCCATGCTGCCTTTGCTCTTGCCAAATACGTTTCAGATACAAATGCTGAAGTTGCATGGTTGAACTCAGAACATGAAAGAAGAACAGGTCTTGTTGAAAAATTAGAAACCGTATTAATTTGCCTTTATTTTTATAGTAACTCCCAGCTGTCTTAGCCCAATAAGCTAAAGCCCTTAAATTATGGAAAGATTCATTAAACGCTGTTGCTGGTGCCACTGCTGATTTGGAAGAAAAGAGAGAATTCTATGCTTCAGAAACTGCTAGAAGATAAGGTAAATATGGCAATTTTACATATTTTTAGAGGAAAATGCTATCATTGATGTCGTTATCCAACTCTTCAAAGATTAAGTTAGATCATTAGCTTCATAAACATCCCTTAATAGACATTGATGGGAATATTCATATAAGAATTTATCTTAATTCATTCATTCATTCATTCCTTTTGTTTCTTATCTTATTTATTAATAAAATAGAGAGATCAAGAAAAAGTTTCTAAAATTATTATTATATAATATATAAACATTGAGTTTAAAATTATAAAAAATTGTTTAAAAATATTTCTCATTTTTTTAATCTTTACAAGCTTTTCTTTAAGAAATTTTATTTTTTCAATAGTTGACTATTGATTTAATAAATATTTCTATCAGGGGATGATTCATTCGAGAGGAATCTATCAAATTATTACTTGTATTCTTTTTGTTTATTTACATATTAAAAGAATGAATTTTGAGTTGAATGTTTTGATAGGGATTATGGCTTATTATTGTTTGTTTTAAAGAAGAATGTTGTATTTGCTTAATTGTTAATAGTTGATTTAGTAGTAGAAGCATGAATATCAAATTTACTAATATTAGCTTTATCTATTTCATTAGTGGGTGGGAGTATTTCGAAACTGCTTTTTTGTATGAATTACTATTTTTTAGGTTAAGAACTTTCTATTTATAAATAAGGAGTATAAGTAGGAACAAAGGGTATTCTAGGTTAATAATCATTTATGTCTTTAATGGAACTCATGGTTTCTTTTCTTTGATCTAAGACATATTTAAGTTCTAGAAAATTCTTAAATAATGCATCAACTTTGACATTTTTTTAAAAATATTCTTTTGGAGGATATGTAAGATTATGTTATTCAATAATGTTATGTCTATGAGATCTTTAGATTTTGTTATCTAATTTTTATTCACCATCCGACTCAAGTTCTTTGAGTCTTTACATAAAATTAATATCGCCTAATTAGGATTTCATGATGGGATGATTAATAATTTTAGGTTTTTCGAATCCTAAACTAGTTCTATGTAAGGCAGTTGCAAGAGAAGGTGAAATTGAATTAATATCAATTTTCATTCTTCTTAAAGGAGGTGATTTAAATTATTGTCTAACTTAATATTATGTTTCTTCTTCAACAATTTAAAGTTTCTTATGTTTATTTGGTGGTTTAAATATACCTGATAAAGTTTAAGCAAATTCTGATCCTTCATCACTTTCTAATTTAGTGAATTCAACTGGACGACCAAAAAATTTAGTGGGTTTAACATATTATGGTGGTGGAGCTGTTTTTTTTGTATAATCTAAGAATTTATCTGTAAAGTATTTTTTGAGATTAGATTCAATATACTGATCTGATACTATTACTCCATTTAGTGTGAAGGTTATAATGTGGTAACAATCTAAATGAATCCTTTCATTATTCTTTGTATGTTATTCATTTAGATTTTATTGGTAATAAAAAGTCTTTTAGGCTATATAGGTAGCACAAAATATTAAAAGATTTAGATTTTCAACTTTTGGATTTTGTACAATATTCATAAGAGCTATATAAGCACTCTTAAGTTTATCATTGCTTTACTATTTTTTGTAAAATGCAATAAGACAATTGTAACATTCATTTGTAAAGGTTTCAAATTGTTATGTATAGAATGCATCGATTGGCTTTGTTATAAGTATACCTAAATTGATAAAATCTAAAATAGCTTATTTCATATAAAATTAATATGTAAAAGCATTTAGAGTTAGTGTAATCAATGACTCAACCAAAATTAGAAGCATCTAATCCTTGGTTAGTTTCAGGAATCCTCAGAACTTAACTATAGAATGTACTTTATAATAAGGATCAATTCAAAGAGATAGATGAAGAATTTAAAGATTTTGGAAAATTTTGCAATGAAGTACTTTATGAATTTAGTGTGGATGCAGAGTTGAATCCACCTAAATTAATTAAATAGGATGTATATGGGAATGTAGTTGATAAATTAGTGTTAGGTGAAGGTTGGAAAAAGGAAAAAGAATATGCTGCAAAAGTAATAATATGATCTAAATAGTGTGGAATAGTAGCAATGGCATATGAAAATAAATATGGTATTTGGAATAGACTAATATAATTATTGAGATTGTAATTGTACTAACCAGTGTCTGGATTATTTGTAAGATATTAATTGATTCTTAAATTAATAGGGGTGTCCTTTAGCCATGACAGATGGTGCAGCATACTTACTTAAATAATGGTTAACCAATCCAACTACTTAATGTTAAGAAACTCTTAAATTAGTAAGATAAGGATTTGAAAATTTAACATCAAGAGACCCATCTAAATTTTGGACTTCTGGACAATGGATGACTGAGAAAGATGGTGGATCAGATGTCTCTAATTCAACTACTACTATTGCTATACATTAAGGAGGTAATAAATACAAATTATATGGATATAAATGGTTTTCATCAGCAACTGATAGTGAAATGACGTATTTGTATAATCTAAATAATTAGATTGGCTTTGGCAAGAATAGTACCAGAGAAAAATATAGAAGATTTCAAAAAATATCCATTATCATTATTTATAATGAGAGTGAAAAAGGATGATGGTTCTTTGAATAATATAAGAATTATGACAATGAAAGATAAAATGGGTACTAGATAATTACCAACAGCAGAATTATTGCTTTAAGGAAGTGAAGCATTTTTAATTAGTGAAGAAGGCAAAGGTATAAAAGGAATAAGTCATATGTTAAATGTAACTAGATTGTATAATGCATCTTCAGCAATTGGATCTATGAATAGATTATATTCAATAGTAGTTAATTATTCTTTGAAAAGAAAAGCTTTTGGATAAGTTTTAATAGAAAAACCTGCTCATTAAGCAATGCTAACTAAATTCAATCTAAATGTCAGAGCATGTAGTTTATTCTATTTTAAAGTGGCATAATTATTCTCTAAAATATAGAATAATGTAGCTTCAAAAGATGATGAAGAAATGTTTAGAATATTAACTCCATTGTTAAAATTATATACTGCAAAAATCTGTATGTATTGGATGAGTGAGGGTATTGAAGCCTTAGGTGCTTTAGGATATATGGAAAATAGTTATATCCCTTTAATGTTAAGAGATGCTTAAGTACTTACAATATGGGAAGGTACAACAAATGTGTTATGTTTGGATTTCTTGAGAGCTCTCAAATCTAATGATAAGAATGATCCTCTTCAGAAACTTGATGTCTATGCAAGATTCCATACACATGTTATGATGACTTAATTATCAGCTGATACATAATTACCAGAAACAAGGAAGACTTTTATACCTTATATAGCTAAAATGACTATTAATCACAATGGAGTCATTGCTGAATTATCTAATATTTTATAAGGATCTATAAAGTACTCAGAAATGAGAATTAGAGATCTCTGCTTTATGTATTAGATTAATAATAAATAATAAGTTTATGTGAATCATTTGTAGGAGGATAGATGTTAGAATTGATTTCAAAGAATGGAAGAGAAGAAGATATCATCAGTTTTGAATTATGGGTTGAATAAATGTAATCATATACAACTACTTGGTCTATTACACCCAAAGCATTTGATATTCTAGTAAAAGAAAATATAATCAAATCCAAATTATGATATATTAATAGATTTCTTAATATATATCAATCAAATGGTGAATAATCATATTCTGCCTTATTATGCATTACGAGTTAATCTCCAACAAAATAAAAACTGTCTGATTTTGTCTAAAATGGATTATTAATCATTTCTTGTCTCTATAATTTATTATCTTTATTTTTTACCATTGCCTCATTTATCTCTGGAATAGTGTATATGTGTTCCCAAGTGTTAGTAGAGTTGGGTATACAAAAAGGAAATTGAAATTCATAGCTTCTTAATAAATTGTCTCTAAAATAATGTCTCTCTATTATAGTAAAATTTTTAATAGGTTTGTCGCCTACTGAAAATGTCAATTAAGCACCAACAGTCTTCAATTCAAAGAATTAAGGTCCAAAATGATATTTAATACGTCTAGCTTCATCTTAATATTCTGGAGGTAGATTTTCTATAATAAATCAATATATAATTTACCTATTGACTCCTCATCTTGATCTCTTTCCACTTCGAATAGTGTCTGTCCAGAATCCATGTCTCTTATTCTAAATTTCAAGAATTGAATATTGTAAACATTTGCACTTACTGGACACAGAAAACTAATATGTAAATCTATTAAATACTCTTGTGTGATTCCATTCAGATTTCTAACATATGCAGGAGTCACTTACTGCATTAGATTTAATTTTTTTTATTATATTATTATTATTTACTATCAATAATATCATTTAAAACATATTCACTTTAAAGGAGACATCTCTATTGATTCTATCTTTAATTCTAAACTGAACCCAACCCATTTAACACTCCTTACTAAACTTAAATAACAATATAAATATGAATCCAATAAACCTATTAAACTTCCAAAACCAAATGAAATTATTGGCCATACTGTTGCATCTACTTTAAATTAATTAATCATTGCTGGCTATTCTATCTAATATTAATTTTTACCATTCCCCAACACACAGCTACCAAAAATGGATACAAAAATAATAAAAATATTTGCTTATTTTCTGCTAAACATTTACTTCCAAGATGATCATAAAGTTCTTTAATCACTAAAGTAAATATTATTGCATTATAAACAAATGTTGACCATATAGGNCAGAAATGAGAATTAGAGATCTCTGCTTTATGTATTAGATTAATAATAAATAATAAGTTTATGTGAATCATTTGTAGGAGGATAGATGTTAGAATTGATTTCAAAGAATGGAAGAGAAGAAGATATCATCAGTTTTGAATTATGGGTTGAATAAATGTAATCATATACAACTACTTGGTCTATTACACCCAAAGCATTTGATATTCTAGTAAAAGAAAATATAATCAAATCCAAATTATGATATATTAATAGATTTCTTAATATATATCAATCAAATGGTGAATAATCATATTCTGCCTTATTATGCATTACGAGTTAATCTCCAACAAAATAAAAACTGTCTGATTTTGTCTAAAATGGATTATTAATCATTTCTTGTCTCTATAATTTATTATCTTTATTTTTTACCATTGCCTCATTTATCTCTGGAATAGTGTATATGTGTTCCCAAGTGTTAGTAGAGTTGGGTATACAAAAAGGAAATTGAAATTCATAGCTTCTTAATAAATTGTCTCTAAAATAATGTCTCTCTATTATAGTAAAATTTTTAATAGGTTTGTCGCCTACTGAAAATGTCAATTAAGCACCAACAGTCTTCAATTCAAAGAATTAAGGTCCAAAATGATATTTAATACGTCTAGCTTCATCTTAATATTCTGGAGGTAGATTTTCTATAATAAATCAATATATAATTTACCTATTGACTCCTCATCTTGATCTCTTTCCACTTCGAATAGTGTCTGTCCAGAATCCATGTCTCTTATTCTAAATTTCAAGAATTGAATATTGTAAACATTTGCACTTACTGGACACAGAAAACTAATATGTAAATCTATTAAATACTCTTGTGTGATTCCATTCAGATTTCTAACATATGCAGGAGTCACTTACTGCATTAGATTTAATTTTTTTTATTATATTATTATTATTTACTATCAATAATATCATTTAAAACATATTCACTTTAAAGGAGACATCTCTATTGATTCTATCTTTAATTCTAAACTGAACCCAACCCATTTAACACTCCTTACTAAACTTAAATAACAATATAAATATGAATCCAATAAACCTATTAAACTTCCAAAACCAAATGAAATTATTGGCCATACTGTTGCATCTACTTTAAATTAATTAATCATTGCTGGCTATTCTATCTAATATTAATTTTTACCATTCCCCAACACACAGCTACCAAAAATGGATACAAAAATAATAAAAATATTTGCTTATTTTCTGCTAAACATTTACTTCCAAGATGATCATAAAGTTCTTTAATCACTAAAGTAAATATTATTGCATTATAAACAAATGTTGACCATATAGGTACATCTTAAAAAACCAAAATAAAATATCTAATTTTTGGTTTATTTGAATTAAATGAACACATGCTCATTGGAAATGCTGCTGAAATTCCATAAGCATCAAATGCAAATGGTCTTCATCACTTCATAATTATATTTATTTACAATAATGACATTATTAAAGGAAACAAAAATCCTATCATCAAATATACCATCTTACGATATGTTCGATCTCCATATTTAACTGTTCTGTAAAGATTATTTGCTATTAAAGTTGTCCATGCTGTACTTGCCAATAAAGAATATTATAATAATGCAGCTTATCCATAACATATGATTGGATAATCACTCAATATAAATTCTTAGTTGTCTATCACTAGAAATGCTACTGCTGATGAAAATAATAAAATCTATTATATTAGGTCAAATATTATGATATGTATAACTATTTTTAATTGATCCGTTCTCAACACATTAAATTTCCAATAACAATATATTACAAAAGAGCATCCAATTATTGAAAGACCTCCCAAAATCAATATTTCTATTGCAATAAATAATTGAGGCATCGAATTAATTATTAATAATTAATATTGTATTGTCACATTCAAACATGCATTATCATGTAATTATATTTGTACATATAAATAATAATTTTTTTTTATTGATGAATCCTAATTACAATGAAATTCTAAAATAGATTATGGATTTTAAATAAGAAGGAATAAGGACACTCATATCTGGTTTACTTGTTAAATTAGTAAATTTAATCAATAATAATAGATTATTGGACTCTTTTTTGCATGGCCAATTTTATAATCATATCATGAAATCTTAATTGGTTATAAGGACCTTAATCATTAATATATTCTATATATAAGTTATGCTCTTATGATTTTAATCATGAATTTATTCATACCTCATACTGACTTCTTCCTTAAGAAATTAGGACCTCAAACTTTAATTTGCTTATTTGTTTGTTTAATTGGAATGTCATTCATGTTAATTGCTATTTTTGATTAAGTATAAATATCTAAAAGAATCAATTTAGAATTGGGTTATTCATTTGTTATTACAATTATTAATCATTGCCCCTTCTGTTGGAATTCTATACTCAACACCATTTCTCATTTCTTGGAGATACTTTGTCAAATAGAAATGTATATTTATCAATTAGTATATTTTATTAGAACACTTAAATGCTATGTTCCAAATATTCATTGGATAAGGTGCCTTTTTAGCATTAAGAATATTTGAGTCAAATTAAGCAAATCAATTAAAATTGTATTTTGATAATGAACAATATTTTTGTGGAGAATGCTTCAATCTTTAAACTAGACAATCCCTTAGAAGTCTCACAATATGGGTTTTTATTTTAGGAATTGTAGCAGCACTCTTAGTAAAATAACTAGATGGAGATTTAGCTGATAGTGTTGTGGATTATGATCTACTTGCATTTGTTCATTTAGATCTTTAATAATAATAAGACAGCAGGCATTCATAAAATGACAGTGATTAATCATTAGATTAATCTATCACATTTACCTAATCCTTATCCACTAAACCATTTTAAATCATGTCCATTTTAGTAGTATCATCATCTCTCTTACCTTATTTGATATTCTGTTAATATTAGAGAATTCAATCAGCCTTAGGAATAAGCTATACTTAATCAAGTGTCTCTTTTTTAATATCAATCTTGTTATATGGTTTTATGAGATAGGTTTATAACTATTTTATTTCAGATTGGCCATACAAACTTGTTGTTAAAGGATTAGTCTAAATGAATGTATTCACAATTATCAACTATTTTAGATGCTCTTAATTCTAATATTTATTGCTTCGCTTTGGTTTCAAAATACTTTGTTAATTAACATAATGTGTTCGATTTATGTAGTCTCCATAGCTATTTTGTTCTCAGTTATTAGTAATTCCATTCCTAAAATTTTTGGATCTATGGCAAGTCAAGGAGTATTCTCGTTCATGTTAACCCTTATGGGGTTGAGTGCTGTTATTTCAAATTCTATTTCTTACTTTTTTCCTTAAGAGGTACATCAATAAATATGTTTAGACAATAAAAAATATGTTATTTTACTTTTCCATTATAGTATTTCTTTGTTAAATAGTTGTGTATAGAATTGCTAATTGAATTTTATTAAATTATATACAATAATTTCAGAATTAAATACTAACTGATTGGAATATATATATTATTCAAATTTATGTATTACACTCCATCTAGACCTGCTGAAAATGACAAATAACCTACCCGTCATTAAAGGCCTCCAGGTTAGAATCCTCAATATCTTCAAAAATAACCTGAAGATCCACGCAGACTTGATGATTATCATGGAAATCCTCAAGAGCGTCCTCCTCCTTAACAAAGACCCCCATATTAAGAACAAGGTCTGGATAGAGGCCCTTAACCACAAAGGCAATTCGAACACCCATAAGATCGACCTTAACCTCCATATGGCAACATGCCTAGAGGATTTGAACGACCTCCTCCTGGTTTCAATCCTTAATTTCCTCCTCCACCTCCTGACAGATTTAATAATGCACCCTATGATCCAGTCTATGCAGATGATCGTTATTATCGACCAATATCAGCTCCTTATGGTAGCCCCTATGGTCCGAGGTAATAACCATACGGGGAACCATCTCCTTAAGGTTTGAGAGGACCTGCCAGAGCATATGATCCAAGAAGAGTAGGACCACCTCAAGATTTTCGAGGTCCTCCACCTGATTATAGAGGATTACCTCCTCCTGATTTTCGTGATGTTCCTCCTGAATTTAGAGGAATTCCCCCTCCAGAATATAGAAGAATGCCACCTTAAAGTTATTAAGGGGGAGAGTACCGAAGAGGAATGCCAGAACCAATGGGTTATCGCAATGATTACAGTAGAGATATTGCATCGAGAGGTCCAGATTACAGAGGAGGACCACCTCCTGAATTTAGGGGAGGACCACCTCCTGATTATAGAGGATTACCTCCACCTGGAGATTTCAGAGGTGGACCACCACCTGATTTTAGAAAACCTCCTCCTGATTATAGAGGAATGCCTCCTCATCAACCTGATTATAGAGGAATGCCTCCTCCTCCACCTGATTATAGAGGAATGCCTCCTCCTCCACCTGAATATAGAGGGATGCCTCCTGCAAATTATAGGGGACCTCCTCCTGAATATGGGAGAGGTATGGATCCAAGAGGATTACCACCTCCAGGTGATTATAGAAGAGCCCCTGGATATCCTCAAAGAGAAGCACCATCCAATGAGATTTATAGAGGAGATTATCCTCCTTAATATTAAAGAGGAGGAGATTAAGTTTACAGAGGAGGACCTGGTGGAAGAGATTTTGAACCAAGACGACCTTTGTCACCTTAAGCACAAAGAAGAGATCATGGATACAATGAGTTTAGTTCACCATAATAGAGAATTAAGCAAGCTTGAATATTATATTAATATCTATATTATACTTTGTTTAATCATGTTTAAGAAGGGTTAATTATGTAGAATTATAAAATTGATAAAATAATAATAAAAAAAGAGAGACGAGATGAAAGAGAGTAAGAAGAGGAGGATTGAAAGTGGAGGAAGGTAAGTTAGAGAGAGATGTAGGGGAGGTGGAGAAATTATTAATTATATAATAATATAGTGTAAAATGAGTATAAATGAAGAGCTCGATCCGTTTTTAAATTAATATTAAAAATGTAAAAAATAGCTCTCTTAGCTTTGGTTCTTGCTGTGACCGCTGCCAAGTTCGTTGACACCCACACAACTTTGGCTTAAATCAACTCTGACCCATTCGGCCATGTTGTATTGAGTGCCATAAAAGCTCATCTTTAAGCCTCAACCCCAGCCAATGAAGTTAATATGTTATTGAATGGTGTTGGTGCAGGACTTGTCTAAGACTAAAATGACCATGATCATGCTTTTGAACTTGACACAACAACAAACAACAGAGTTGATTCTATTTAATTAATCTTTAGATCGTTGAAGATTTGGAAAAGGAAATTTTGTATCACCAAAACTAAATTGCCTCAAATACCTAATTGAGAGATGACACAATTGAAGCACTTGCTGTATCTGAAGAAGATATCAGAGTGACAATTTCAGATATTGCTAACAACGAAGCTACCTATGCAAGAGAAGAAGCCACAAGAAATTAATAACACGAAACATTTGTCTCAAAAGTTGCTGCTATTGATGATGTGATTGATGCTATTGATGAAGCCGCTAAATTGATCCAACATTTGAGCCTTGGAGCATCATTTGCTTAATTAAAAAGCAAATATGACACACTTCACAAGAAACTTTCAGATAACACATCCCACACTGCTTTATTATAAGTATGATTGATAAATCTAATCTAAATAGCCAGTCATCACTGCTCTTACTGAATTAGCTACCCATGGAGTTAACTAAAAGGCATTGACAAAGATTGCTTAACTCTTAAGTGAAATCAGATAATAATTAGTCTCAGAAAAAGCTGCCAAGACTGTATTTTAATATTTAATTATAATAGGATGTTGAAGATAGATAAGCTGCTCATTGGGCTGAATTCTCAGTTCATTTGTCTAATGAACATACCAGATTGGTTGAAAGAAAAGCTTAATTAGAAGTCTAAATCTAAGAATAAAAGGATACCATTGAAGATGCTTAATCATGGATCGAATTCCACACTCTTGAATTGGAAAATAGTGAAGAAAGACTTGCTGGATAATAAGCATGGTATGCAGTCTAATCAGAAATCTATGAAACCTAAACTGCTGAAAGGTATTTTAAATTATATTATTTTATTAGAACTGCCTAATAAGAAATTGTTGACAGACTCTAAGAGCACATTAGCGAGAAGTTATCCACCACTGCTCAATTTATTGCCAGCAGAAATTGATTTGATTATCAATACATCAATAAATAATTGGATAACATATGACAAATTAAATTCCTCTCTATCCAATAAAAATGATCAAGACTTTGTTCTAAAAAAATGGATTCGTTTCATAGCAATTGGAACAAAGGATTAAATTATAAATAAACTCATTCCAAATAGCTGATTTCCCTGTCGATTAGAATCTAGTCTTATTTGCAATAAATAATCATTGCATCGTCTTCAAAACAAATAGGAACAAGTTATATAGATTAAGATATATGAATCGAATAGCCAAATCAAAACAGAAATTGAAAGCAATAAATATTATTGATCAATTTTGATTGGACAAGTTCGTTGACAAATTGGATATGAAATTCACAATATAGTGTCCAAAGTAATCAAACAACTATTTAATGTATCAATTAAACATTAGAAGAAAATGGATTTTGAGTATGGAAAATATATAGTATATTCATGAAACTCAAATAAATCACATCAATGTTACTTCAAACAAAGGAGATTGTATCATGCTTTAAGAGATATAAAAGAATTTAGATTTTTAGAAGGAAAAGACAATTACAAAATGATTTTTTATTAATTTTGCGATAGTCTCTCTATTCCTTTTAAAAATTCTATTACAGCAACTTCGAACAATTAAATCTAATCATAATCTTTAAATTATTAAGATCATAAACTTAATCAAGAAGAAAGTCTTGTATCATAAAAAACACTTAAAGTTAAAAAGATTACTTAAATTAGAAATTTTTATGAAACTTATTCAAATGACCTAATCATCAATTATAAGAATATTCATATTTTAATATTGTATTGAAGTGATAATATAACATTTTCAAAAAATATCAAGACCTTCTTTATCTATTTTTGAAATTTAGAATTATAAAAAATATAAAATTATAAAAATATATACTTCAAACTATATATCCTAAGAATTAATTTTTTATTTTAAAACCAAAATTTATTTCCTTCTCTAGAATGCAATAATCATAAAATATAAAAATTAGTTAAATCTATAATTCAAATTAATAAATTTAATGAAAAGGGTTATTCCTAAAATATTTAATCTAGGATTAGCAGATTTAAATAAAATGCTTTATCATTGAAATATATAATCAATATAAGTAATAAGAGCAGAAATTTTAACGATTAAGATTTCATTACAATAAATTATGATTAAATACTCAATTCAATANTCATTTATCTAATGAACATACCAGATTGGTTGAAAGAAAAGCTTAATTAGAAGTCTAAATCTAAGAATAAAAGGATACCATTGAAGATGCTTAATCATGGATCGAATTCCACACTCTTGAATTGGAAAATAGTGAAGAAAGACTTGCTGGATAATAAGCATGGTATGCAGTCTAATCAGAAATCTATGAAACCTAAACTGCTGAAAGGTATTTTAAATTATATTATTTTATTAGAACTGCCTAATAAGAAATTGTTGACAGACTCTAAGAGCACATTAGCGAGAAGTTATCCACCACTGCTCAATTTATTGCCAGCAGAAATTGATTTGATTATCAATACATCAATAAATAATTGGATAACATATGACAAATTAAATTCCTCTCTATCCAATAAAAATGATCAAGACTTTGTTCTAAAAAAATGGATTCGTTTCATAGCAATTGGAACAAAGGATTAAATTATAAATAAACTCATTCCAAATAGCTGATTTCCCTGTCGATTAGAATCTAGTCTTATTTGCAATAAATAATCATTGCATCGTCTTCAAAACAAATAGGAACAAGTTATATAGATTAAGATATATGAATCGAATAGCCAAATCAAAACAGAAATTGAAAGCAATAAATATTATTGATCAATTTTGATTGGACAAGTTCGTTGACAAATTGGATATGAAATTCACAATATAGTGTCCAAAGTAATCAAACAACTATTTAATGTATCAATTAAACATTAGAAGAAAATGGATTTTGAGTATGGAAAATATATAGTATATTCATGAAACTCAAATAAATCACATCAATGTTACTTCAAACAAAGGAGATTGTATCATGCTTTAAGAGATATAAAAGAATTTAGATTTTTAGAAGGAAAAGACAATTACAAAATGATTTTTTATTAATTTTGCGATAGTCTCTCTATTCCTTTTAAAAATTCTATTACAGCAACTTCGAACAATTAAATCTAATCATAATCTTTAAATTATTAAGATCATAAACTTAATCAAGAAGAAAGTCTTGTATCATAAAAAACACTTAAAGTTAAAAAGATTACTTAAATTAGAAATTTTTATGAAACTTATTCAAATGACCTAATCATCAATTATAAGAATATTCATATTTTAATATTGTATTGAAGTGATAATATAACATTTTCAAAAAATATCAAGACCTTCTTTATCTATTTTTGAAATTTAGAATTATAAAAAATATAAAATTATAAAAATATATACTTCAAACTATATATCCTAAGAATTAATTTTTTATTTTAAAACCAAAATTTATTTCCTTCTCTAGAATGCAATAATCATAAAATATAAAAATTAGTTAAATCTATAATTCAAATTAATAAATTTAATGAAAAGGGTTATTCCTAAAATATTTAATCTAGGATTAGCAGATTTAAATAAAATGCTTTATCATTGAAATATATAATCAATATAAGTAATAAGAGCAGAAATTTTAACGATTAAGATTTCATTACAATAAATTATGATTAAATACTCAATTCAATANAAAGACTTGCTGGATAATAAGCATGGTATGCAGTCTAATCAGAAATCTATGAAACCTAAACTGCTGAAAGGTATTTTAAATTATATTATTTTATTAGAACTGCCTAATAAGAAATTGTTGACAGACTCTAAGAGCACATTAGCGAGAAGTTATCCACCACTGCTCAATTTATTGCCAGCAGAAATTGATTTGATTATCAATACATCAATAAATAATTGGATAACATATGACAAATTAAATTCCTCTCTATCCAATAAAAATGATCAAGACTTTGTTCTAAAAAAATGGATTCGTTTCATAGCAATTGGAACAAAGGATTAAATTATAAATAAACTCATTCCAAATAGCTGATTTCCCTGTCGATTAGAATCTAGTCTTATTTGCAATAAATAATCATTGCATCGTCTTCAAAACAAATAGGAACAAGTTATATAGATTAAGATATATGAATCGAATAGCCAAATCAAAACAGAAATTGAAAGCAATAAATATTATTGATCAATTTTGATTGGACAAGTTCGTTGACAAATTGGATATGAAATTCACAATATAGTGTCCAAAGTAATCAAACAACTATTTAATGTATCAATTAAACATTAGAAGAAAATGGATTTTGAGTATGGAAAATATATAGTATATTCATGAAACTCAAATAAATCACATCAATGTTACTTCAAACAAAGGAGATTGTATCATGCTTTAAGAGATATAAAAGAATTTAGATTTTTAGAAGGAAAAGACAATTACAAAATGATTTTTTATTAATTTTGCGATAGTCTCTCTATTCCTTTTAAAAATTCTATTACAGCAACTTCGAACAATTAAATCTAATCATAATCTTTAAATTATTAAGATCATAAACTTAATCAAGAAGAAAGTCTTGTATCATAAAAAACACTTAAAGTTAAAAAGATTACTTAAATTAGAAATTTTTATGAAACTTATTCAAATGACCTAATCATCAATTATAAGAATATTCATATTTTAATATTGTATTGAAGTGATAATATAACATTTTCAAAAAATATCAAGACCTTCTTTATCTATTTTTGAAATTTAGAATTATAAAAAATATAAAATTATAAAAATATATACTTCAAACTATATATCCTAAGAATTAATTTTTTATTTTAAAACCAAAATTTATTTCCTTCTCTAGAATGCAATAATCATAAAATATAAAAATTAGTTAAATCTATAATTCAAATTAATAAATTTAATGAAAAGGGTTATTCCTAAAATATTTAATCTAGGATTAGCAGATTTAAATAAAATGCTTTATCATTGAAATATATAATCAATATAAGTAATAAGAGCAGAAATTTTAACGATTAAGATTTCATTACAATAAATTATGATTAAATACTCAATTCAATATTGGTGATTAATTTATTGAAATAAAAGCTATAAATTTGAGTAACAATCATTATAGAATTTTTGTTGGATTAAATAATTAGAAATAGCTTAACATTCAATATATTTATGCCTTTTAAAAAATATTTAATTGAATTTAAGAAAGTTAAAATGAATTTTATTAATTTTAATCTTAAGTTTGTTAATACTAATTTTACTATTAATATCCACATTAACATAATTAATAAAATTTATAAAGAGTTTTAATTATTTACAATAATTTTGCAATATTTATATTATTCTAATGCATAATTAATAATTTTGTGAGGGAAGGAAAATTGACTTGGGATGGTTGACAGATGCAGTGAATGATTATTAACCACTTCTTATAAAATCATTTAGATAATAATTTAAAGAGGAATTATAGAATTTGGCAAATAAGGAACTGATTACAGATGAGATGATTATGAGTCTTTGTTTAAGTGTTGATTAAAAGAAGGAGGAATTGATAATGTAAAAGAAGAGTAGTGTAACAGGTGGTTATTTGGATAGATTAGTGAGATTTGATAAGCATATACTATAGTAACTTAAGGATCATAAACCTGTTAAATCATTCCCACTTTATTAAAGAGTGTTTGTTGAAACCAAAGCAGCTGATTAAAAGACTTGGTTCAACAAAAATGGTGATATGGCAAGATTACTTTTGGAATTTGAAAAAGGACATACTGGAGTTTATATATACAGAAAAGATAAAAATTAAGCAATAAAATGGTAAAGATATTTGATAATTGAAAAATTATTATAAGTAAAACCAACATTAGTAGTTAGATGTTTTGAATATTGTTATAAAGAATATGAATATAAATTTACATTTACTTGGACATTAAAATATGCTTAACTTCTAGGAACTTATACAACATAAATGAATCAAATGAAAAAGTAAAAAGCTAAATTAGATGAAAACTTTTTGATTTCATTAGATAGATAAGTTATGAATTATCATATAAAAAAATGGTAAGCAAAAAGTGATAAATAATATAAAGAAGAATAGGATTATAAAGAGAAATTAAAATAATTATCATTAAAAGAATAAGAATAATTAAAAGCTACTGAATAATAGAGAGAATTAGAGAGATTAGCAAAAGAAAAGAGAAGATTAGAATTATTAAATTAAATGGTCACTTATTTAAAACCCAAGAATTATGAAATGAAACGATTTTATAAATATTGGTAAGATAGAGCAATTCATATTCATCATAATAATCCATAGAAATTTATTATATCATTTGTTAGTATGTATATGTAAAGTAATACATAATTGATAAGACCTTAATTAGAAGTAAGATTTGTTTCTGAAGTATCTTTATAAAACAATTATTATAGAGGACAGAGAATACTAGAGATATAGAAAATTCTAAACTATTAGATGGTTTACAATATCATATAGAATAAAATCCTTATTATACAAAACGTTTACTTACTTAAATGAGTCAATAAAGAAGAAGAGATTTTACAACTTGGATTTTCAAAGATGGATTACTTGGAACATGTGGAAATACATCAATTACAGTAGAGAATTTTGGGTTTAAAGATTTTCTAGACCTTTAAGTTATAGATACTATCAGTACTTATTCATTATCAATAAATAAGAAACTAATACAGCTTCAAAAGTTCTTAGAATATAATTATAGGATTTGTTTCAATTTCTCTATGAAGGTAGATCATTTTGGGTACAATTGGAATTTGGACCTTCTAAAATCTATGTAGAAATAGATGTATTGGAACATTCAAATTTAGATCCTATATTTTTAGATAGACTGAAATATATATAATTGAATGGCATTCTCAGAAAAATAATTGTAAAGATAATTGATTAAAGAACTCCTGTAATATATATATATATCAAATTTATCTAAGATTCCAATTGTTGAAACTGTGAGATTTAGTCTTGAAGTTGATAAATATAGTTAAGAAATTTAAAATCTTTATTAGAGATTTTATATTGAAAACATTTGTTTATAACCATAATGTATACCTACAGCTTGGTTTTCTTTGTTGGATGGAATGGATAGAGTAGTTAAACCTATCACAGATATACTTAAAAGAAAGACCTAAGAATATGTAGATACTGGAGAAAATGTACTAATTTATAAATAATTAAAATAAACTCAAAATTTAGATCTACCTTTAGAAAAAGATATTAATGATTTTATAAGTAGATTACCTGTTAATTAAGCAAATTAACATAAATAATTCTAAGGTATGTTATAAACATTTTTAATTTATTGCAATCTTAGAGGAATCTAATTGAATGTATCAATACTAAATAATTTATTTACAATAGCAAGTAAATTTATATGCATTACTCATTGTCACTTTTTCTATAAATTATCAAATCCTGTATTTGGTAATTTATTTGATTCAGAAGCTTAAGCATTTTGGCTTTTTGTCTCTTTCTTAGACTTAATGAGAAATATTCATTATCCATTAACAAAAGATGATTAAGTTTTTTGTCCTTAAGAAATAGTAATTTAATATTTAGAATTTCAACATACAAATTTAATTAAACATTGTAAAGTTTATGATATTGCTATTGATAATATCATATATGATATTCTTTGTTGTTTTTACACTAATATTGTTTAATCTCTACCTTTATATAATATTTGGAGCTTAATCATAAGAAAAACATCTACAAATAAGAATGTCTATCTTATAGTATTGATTGTATTAATTGAGGAATTAGGAGAGAAATTATTACTTTGTTAAAACACAGAGGATTTTAAGAATGCTATTTCTTTAAAAGGTATAATAATTGTTATTTATTATAGCTTAACTTATGGATATTCTATAATTAGAAGCAGCTTATTCAAATTGTGAATCAACTTTGAATAGAATTATAAATTCAGAACAATCCTTTCATTAATCAATTGAACATACAAATATCCATAGACCATTAATATAAGATTAATGATTTATAAATATAATTTGTAATTAAATTAATTATATAATATTATATTTTTATATACTCTCATATAATGTAATAAAATTAATCATCATTTTTTATTTCTATTCTTTTCTTAAATTTATTGAATTTTATCATATAATAATTCAATATCTACTTAATCTATAAGTTTTGGTTCTTGAGCCCATTCACCTACTAAATATTCAACTCTTCCAATCATTTTAGTTCTTAATTCTCTATATTAAGTTTCATTTAATTGAATTGGTAATTCTCCTCCTATTTTTAAAGTTGTTCCTTTTTTGCCAACAAATAAAGTTTCAGTTGGTTCAATTTCTTCAATAAGTCCTTCTACATGTAAAGATTCAGCTACAGTCAATTACTATGCTAAATTTTAAATTTCTGGTAATTCTGGATTGAATCTAATTGATAAATTAGAATGAATTACTTTTATTCTTGAATTAACTCATCTCTTTCATTTTAAATTCCTAAAATAAGTTCTGCTCTTAAAGTTTCTAATAGTTTTTTTTATGCATTAAAACTCATTTATAAGTATTCCTTAAATTCATTTTCAGATAAAATCAAATCAGGATGATATATTTCTTCTAATGTTTCTTAGACTAATTCTTTAAACCATAAATCAATTGGTTGATAATTAAACCATTTCTTTTTCAATACTTTTTCTAAATCTTCTTTTTATTATTAAAGTTCTTTTGGAGTAATTTCAACTTATCTTTCTGCAATTAAATCCAATTATTTAAGTTAATAATTTATTCCTATAATTAATCTCTTTTTCTTTTATGCTTTAAGTCCTTATATTTTACCATATATTTCTATTTCCTTTTTAGTAGCCAAATGAAGATCATCTCTAAAATTAACACGTCTCATAATTTATCCTCTTCTATATTTTGGTAAATTTTATCTATAAAATATACTCATTTTATGTGATTTACTTTCTATGGCACTATATACATCATCAGGAGTAGTTTAACTAATAGGTTTTTCTTCTAATCCAGCAATTTAATTTTCATAATTAGTTTTAATTTTTAAACTTAATAAATTAGTATAAATTGCTTTAGATTTAAAACTTGGCCATTTTGTAGATTTAATAGTCAAAATATAATCTAATAATTTATCTGATTCAACTAAAGTCTTTTATCTATATGTATTATATAATGTTGCAGCTGCTCTCAATTTATCATTCAAATAATCTAAGAGTTTTTCAAATTATTTAAAATTCTAAATTTAAAATCCATATTCTTATTAAAATTTCAAAACTTAAACTTCATAATTACCTCCTTATTTAAATAAACAATAAATTTCTTCTAATTTACATAATAATATATATGAGAAAGTAAACATAAGATTACTTTCAATAACCTTAAAAGAATCTAATGTTAATGATTCATTAATTTATTCATCTATTATTGGTAATTCATTTAAATGTTTAATTTTTTTCATTCTCATTCTATAAGTTTAAATCAATAATTATTCGAACATTATTTATAATTATTTAAACTCATCTGGACATCTAAAGAAATCTTCCATTATTTTACTTAAATTTTAATCACTTTTAATAAATTCTTCTATTGTAGATGGAATCTCTTCCTTTTATTTTAATTATTCTATTTCTTATTTCATTTAATTTATTAATTCCTCTTTATTTACTTATTCTATTGGTACTTTTTATAAATTAATTATTATTTCTTCTTTATTCTCTTTTAATTAATCTAATATCTCTTTAACTTCTTTCCCTTCTAAATATTCTTATATATTATTAAATTAATTAGATTATGTAACATTTTAAACAACATTTTTATAAAATTTATCTATTTATTAACTAAATTCTTAATAAAGATCTCCATATCTAGTTTCATAAAATTTATTTCTTATATCTCTAGCTCTAAATATTTAATCTGTTAATTCTTTATCAACTATTTTTTCGGGTAATTCATTTTCATAAAATGATTTTCTATCATCTTTTGGAAAAATCAGTAATCTTTACATTGATTTATTCCATGCTTACTATTTCTTTAAAATTTCAATTTCATCATAATCTTCTGTTAATTTATTATTCAAAATAGAATTTCTTACTAATGAAAATAATTCTCTCTTTGGTTTTACAGATGCAATTCTAGCCACATTTCCATAACTATTAAATCTTGCTTAATTAGCCTTTTCAAAAAAAGAGTTCATTGATTCCTCTAATAAAGATCCAAAATCCTTAATACCATTTAAATATTATTATCTTTCTTCTATATACTTTTTAAGATTCTCTTCATATCCAACTATACTTTTCAATTTATCCATTTTCATTTTAACTTCCTTTTTCAATTAAGCAATTTCTACTCTCATTTTTCTTAAATCTGAAACTCTTATAGATCCATCCATTGCATGTTAATTATTCTTCATAAAAGCAGCTACATCAATTTCTTAATTAGCTCTATCAATTAATCCCTTTCTAAGATTTTACTCATTCAAAAAAACTCTAATATTTTCAGGATATTCAGCATAAAAGTCTCTTACTGGTTCAAGAGCATTAGGTAAATAATCAATTGAAGGACTAACATGACTGAAAAAAGAATCAATGTTATCAACTCTCTATTATTTCTCCATTAAACCACTATTAGCAAGATTTGAAGCTACATTATATTCAGCAACTAAACAATCTCTCCATTACCATTTCTCTGCCTCTCTTAATAATTTGAAAGTAAGTTCAAGAGATAATCTTGGTTATGCTTCTAATTCCTTTAAGATCTCTTAAGCAAATTAACTCTATTCAGATTTTAATTTATCCATAATCTCTTAAACACTCTCTCCACTAAAACATCTAGCAATCAAAGCCTTATCTAATTTAACTAAATTCTCTCTTGATATTATTCCCATTTCTTCTAGACTATCAATATTCATTGTCTTAAAATGAAGATATGGATTTGCTATTGTTTATTTAGGTTTATCATTCTATTAATTTAAAACATTCTCCTCTTAAAATCTTTTAAGTTTGTATAATAATTCTTATGCTACTAATTATGCATCTTCATTTTTCATTCTAATCATCATTTCTTCACTTAATTTTCTTAAGAATATCTATTATCCTTTTCTAAAACTTTAAATTTCACGTTTCACTTCTTTTGGGTACATTTATAGAGTATTTGGTGTCTTATACTATTAAATTGTCTAATTGATATAATCAATAGCTTTATTTTTATCTTTCAAATTTCCATATATCAACTCTAAATTTAATGCTTCCTCATTTTTTAACCATCTACCAGTCAAGGCATAATATAACCCCAATTAATCAGGCAATCTGGATAAATGAAATGAAGCACTAATATTCTTATACATATATATACCCTGCATGAGGTACAAACCCTCTATTAACATCATTAAATCGTATTCCTCCTTTTTAATCAAAAAATTAAAATGGAGTTGAACATGCTAAGGCTGCCATTGATCCACTAGCTTCTCCTGTTATTACAGGCATCAATATTTTATTGTATTTTCCAAAATAGACTGCCAAATTTTATATTTGTCTCATATATTCAATCTTCTCTTGTTATGATAAGTGTTATAAGTCTAATTTGTTATTAAAATTTGCATTACATTTCAAATCTGTTCCTTTAGATTAGCAATCTAACCAAATGATACTCACTGTTTCTTCTAAATCATAACTTTCCAAAAATCTATGAATTTGATTTAACATTGTTGGAGTCAAAATGTTATGCTTATGATAATGATTAAGTTTGGCAAACACCTATTATCCAAATTGCTCCCCTAACAAATGTGATTATTTGATTTCAGCATCGAATCTAATGACATTTTATGATCGAAGCACTTGAGTTGAGATATAGGAATACTTAATTTTAAGCATCATAAATAAAATCTTAATTAATCAAATCAATTTCTCAATACTAATACAGACCTCCAATATACAATTCAATTGCTCTAGTTTATAATTATAAAGAAAAGGAACCTTCTTACTCAATTTATCTCTTTCATTTGAAGTTATCTCTTTTTTCATCTATTTATTTTCCATCTATTTATATCTATTCTTACAAAGAAACCTTCCTAATGAGCATAAAACAATGAGTTATTCCACTTATAAGTATTTTTTATGATATTTATTTTCATGAATAATTTAGAGAAAACCTATATCTTAATCAATTGTGTATTGGTCTTAATTTAAATCTGAATATGTTTTAAAATGATTAAACTTAGGATTACTAATAAGAGCTATTTATTTTAGATTATTGTTAAAAATTTTATGATTATTTAATTCAATATTATTATAAAAAATTTATTCCAAGTCTTATGATTATAAAATATTATTCTAATTGATATCCTTATCATCATCTCATCCTATAGATTATTTATTTAAAAATATTGTGATATTAGGTTAAATTAATTTGAATTAATAATTTAGGTTATTAAATTATTTATTCTTTTTGAATGACTTCTATTTTAAATAGAATTGTAATTTCTAACATTCATAGATATCATAGAAGACATAGTATTTCACAAAGATCCTGGAACGTAAAATAAATGATTATATCCATAATCTGTCTTATTTTAAATAGTTCCCTTTTATATTTTATAAACTTTTAAGTATGAACTTCTACTATAACTTTGAATTTCTTGTAAAATACATAGAATTATTATTCCATGAAATATTTATAAGATAACAATAAAGTTTTATATTCTTTTTTATTATTCTTTTGAAAATAATAAATAAGAACTTAATTATATCATAAATACTATAAAATGTATTTTGGATCTTATAATTATAATTATTATTGCTATTACTTGAATCTAATTATAATATTGATAATAGTTTATAATTTTCTCTTGGAAATTCTTATTTCCATTTGTATCCATAGGAACATTTGTTCATTATAATTTTCATTTAGTTTCAGAAAAAAAACTCTTTTTTTTTATGCATCATGAAGGCTTTTCAAGATACTTAAAATCATTATTTTTAGAAAAAATTATGAAATATGCAATATGATGCTAAA